GGGAAGGCACGGGTGACCCACTGACCCTTCCCACGTAGCTCTTCTCTGCTGTCAAATCTGATCCCAGGAGTTCTCCTGACGCTGCAGGAGAAGGGTGCAAGGGCCCAGCATGTCATGAGACACTTAGTGGAAGCTCCCTAAACTGCCTGGTTCGCTGGTGATGCAAGAGCCTCCACTTCCAGACCGGCTTCCTAGTTAAGTCCTACTAAATAAGAGCACACCCAGTGCCTGTATTTTTCTTTTAGCGAGCTCAGAGTCGCAAAATCGGAAAACTCCGGGGCAGACTCCTCCTACAAAGAAACGGGCGATAAGACTTTTTTTCCCCCTTGTGTGGTTCTTTTCTAGTCCGATTCTGAAGTGCCTGGCTCCCGGCTGAAATGCGGAGCCCGCAGACTTGTTGGCTGGAGGCTCTCGGAGCAGCGGTATACCCGGTTGCATGGGTGGGATGCGGAGTGGCCAAGTCACAGGACTAGCTTGCAGCCATGGCCAGGATAGACCTGGAGTTGCCGCTTACTTGGCTGCAAATGCCAATGCCCTGTGCGCTCTTGTAGCGAACACCCCTGGCCCACATGGCTTTGCCGCGAGCCTCCCAGCTCCCCTGGGAACCAGTAGCTTCTTTGATCTCCCTCAATCACTTGAGAACCAAGACTTTAACCTAAGGCTGTGGTGTGTCACGCTGACGTTAGAACCGGTAATAAACACCGAAATTACCAAGATGGTCCGACATTGGTGCGATAGGTCCTGTCACTTGTTCATGAAAAGGTCACTTCCTTCTCTCTGCCAGCCTGGATGAGGACTGAGTAGCCCTTAAATCGAGATTCCTCAGTCTTCACACTGAGGATGCCCGGCGCTCTATTTCCAGACCAACTTCTCCCGGCTGTTGTGGCGAAAGAGAAGGGGATGGGGTGGGGTGTGTGACACCATTGCCTTCGAGACTTCGATTGGGGACAGGAAAGCCTCAGGAGGGTGAAGGCGAGTTTTCGACCCCCACATGTCTGCCAGCACGACCTGAACTCTGCTGCTCCGCGGTCGCCAGCTTCAGTCGGCCGATAGTTCTTGGCGGTGAGCCCAATAAATTGCGAGGCTCCCAACACAACGCATGGCACAACCGTCTTTCCTCGGTAGTCCCATCTTTCCTTATAATTATTCTTTTGTAGTTACTTTCTCATTCCCTATTTTATTTGCTTGTCATTCGCGCCCATTGCGACCCGAAGCTGCGCTGTAGACCTAGGATTTCCCTTGCCCCTTCCTCAACTGTCTTTCCCACCAGCTCTGTCTCTTAAGTAACCGGGCACTGGGGAAAATAACACACACACACACACACACACACACACACACACACACACACACACACACACACACACAGACA